GTTATATCACTCTGTAATAATTCCACCCAAATTTACAAGGTTATCAATGTTACCCATAACTTAACTGATGAAGTAGTTGGTCCTTCATGCTTGTAATGATTATCAGAAAAAAACAAATTTATGATTTGGAAGGCAGTCATATCATAAAATCTCATAAAATTGATTTTGAGTATAATTCTTTTATTTCTTCCAAACTCTTGCACCACTGTCTCTTATTTATATCTAGACTCCCTCTTTCATTCCCCTTCCTTCCATCAACAAACAGGCACCTACTGGGTACCAATATACAGCACGGGAGGAAACCACTCTGAGAGATGTGCAAAAATAGTTTCCTTTCTGGTAAAACCTACAACTTGGTGGGGGTCTCAGGTAAAACATGGAAAAGAAGTTTTGTCCCCTAGGTGAAGGTGGCATTCTTGCTAGAAATGGGCCATAATATTGCAAACTTGTATCTGCTATCAAATTATTTTATTTGCAGTTTCAGGTGTACCCTGTGCATGGCCTTCATTAGTTTCCTGAAAGGTAATAGAGGTTTTGAGTGGTTTGAAACCTTAAGAGCTAACCTTCCAGAGTCAACCAGTCTCAACATCTTCCTTCTGAGCTCAGAGGATAATTCTATTTGTTACAAAGTTATTGATATAATAGTAATTTCATACCAGAGGGGGGAAAAGAGTCTGGAAGAGACTGAATGGCCTGCTGAAGCCTCTGTGCTTCCATGGCAACAGAAACCCAGACTGTAGGCCAGCGTTCCTCCTAGCACACTTCACCTTCCTCAGGTAGGTGTTTTGAACCAGCCACTGTATACTGGCCACTCCCACTGGTGCTCAAGTATGGAAGTTAGAGATCCTTGAACTCTTCCTTTTTACATATGCTCCAGAGAGAGACGATTTAATATACTTCTTTGGAGCGCATTGCAGAGCAGCTTTTCTCCTGGAACAGGGACACTGACTAGAGTGATTTTCATGTAAAATACCAAATTTGCTCCTCTGACTTGACTGACATTGGTCAGGATTGACTCTTGTTCTATATTTTGATTCAATTCGAATCACATAGTTAAAAATCCATCCAGAGGAGAAGAGCCCACCTAACCATTCTCCCCACTGACACTTCCTTAAGCCTCATGGGAAGGAGAGGAACATTTCACGGCAGTGTCAAAGTACCAAATCCTGGCTGGCTCTGCACTTTGTTTCTCCTCAGCACAGGGTAGCAGAGGTGGCAGCCAAATGAGTGACCTGGCTGAGCACAAGACCAACACCCAGGTGCAGTTTCCCTCTGGGACTGAAGTCTACACTACCACAGTCACCAGCTATAAGTTAGCAAGGGACACAGACCTGGAAAAGTTTGGGCTAGACAGAGGTCTCCTGAGAAGCTTAGTCTCAGGCCAGGAAGATCACAGGGCCTGCACTCTGTGGTAGGACCCCAGGGTTGGTGGGTGTAACCTCTGCAGTGGGCTGGATCTGAAGATGATGGCATTGAGTCCAGTGATCTGTTTGGACTCCCACACCACTGCCTACATCCAGTGGAGACTAGTGGTCTGATTTACTGTAGATCAAAGTCTGCATGGCTTGAATGTCTATACTAAAATCGTAGATCTCTTTGCTATGCTTCAAGGTGGCTCATGAGTGGTTCTTAAGTATCAAGTTTATATTTGATGTGCTTTACTACTATAGTTGTTGCAATTCACTGGTTTTCTCCATATGCCAACATCTGGATTCCCTGGGCATCATAAACAATACCAGGACCTATTCCTTTAGAACCAAATACTGAGCCAAATGAGCTCCAATGAAGGTAACTGGATCCTGGGACAGACGCAAAGGCCAATAGTTAGCCATGCCCAGAGGATATCCCTGCAAGGAAGCTATGCAGTATAATTAGCCACCAAACCCACCACAGAAAAATAAACAAACAAAAAATATAATATGAGAAAACAAGGCAGCAAATGCTATCAGTTACTCCCAACTCCCCTAAAAGTGATCCAGGAAGAATCACGAAGGAGGAAATTAAAAGTAACATGACAGAAATGTCTGAGATGACCTCAACACAGGTAACAAAGCAAATTAATAACGTGATGGGTAAATTCAAAGATATAACTAAAGAGATAATGATTCTAATGAAACATGATCAGCAAGTCTAGAGAAGACACCAATAAAAATATAGTAGAGCAAAATAAAACATGCAAGACACGAATTTCCAGAATACAAAATGGAAATATTAAAAAAAATTTAAAACAGAAATCCAGGAGATTAGAACTATGATTGAAATTATGGGCAGCAGAAGTGACCAATATGAGGACAAAGTGTCAGATTTAGAGGACAGGGCTGTAGCTAAAGACTGGTTAAGGAGAGATAGACTGAAAACAAGAGAAGATGGAAAATGGGTTGAACTCCTGCTAGATGAGGCAAAGAAGACTAATCTAAGAGTAATTAAAACTAGAAGGAAAAAAGTAGAAGATGGCAAAAAGGACATAAAAACTTGCTTAGAAAGTAATAGCAAAAATCTTTCCAGACTTGGAAAAAGAATTTAATATACTGATGATGAGGTACATAAAACCCTTAATAGCCATGATGAGAAAAAATCCCCATCACATCACAATTAAATTACTAGAAATCCAACACAAGAACAGAATCTGAAAAGCTATTTGAGAAAAGCAAAGAATCATCTGCAAAGAAAAACCCACCAGAATTATAGCAAACACAACACAAAACTTAAAGGCAAGAAGAGGTTAGAATGAACTGTTTTGAGCCCTAAATGAACATAAATTCAACCCAGACTGATACAGGTTGAAAAATTATCTTTCAAAATTGATGGAGAAATACAATTTTTCCATGATAAAAAAGACCTAAAGAAAGTTGCGATACTGGGCCAGGGATTTAGCTCAGCAGTTTGGTGGCCTGCCTTGCAAGCGCAAGGACCTGAGTTCAATCCCTGGTACCAAAAAAACAAAAACAAAAAAGTTATGCTACCAAATCAACAGTCCAACAAGTTCTGAAGAATAAACTAAAAAGAGACAATGAAGCTAAAAATTCCGAAAGGCCGTATAGGATGAATGCACTATGTAGGGCAAGAAAGTAAGGGGAAAAAGGAAAACAGCAACAGAAAATGTTACACCAACAGGTATAAATTGATACTTATGAGTTATAATTATCAATATGATTGGCTCAATTCATAAATCAAAAGACACAGATCAAGAGTATGCTGTAGCTCAGAGTGGTATCACAGGCCTATAATCCCAGCACGTGGGAGGCTGAAGCAGGAGGAACACTGTGAGTTTGAGACCAGCCTGAGCTACATAGTGAGTTACAGGTCAGTCTCAGCTACATAGTGAGACCCTGTCAAAAAAAAAGAGTATGCTCTATGTCTGAAACACATTTAACCTAGGAAGAAGTTCAGAGACTAAAAATCAAAGTGTGGAAGACAGTATGTCATGCAAGAGGAAACAAATTATGCCTGAAAACAAGTGGAAGCGGCTATTCTATTTCCATACAAAGAAGATTTTTTTCACTTCTTCTATTGCTTTATTTTTCAAAATCTGTTATTTTTCATCCTCCCATACCCTACAACCTCTATACTTCCTAGGGTAACATTAACCTTTATGAATCTGTAGAGAGTTAACTATGTCATACTATGGTAGTACACTGTTCTGAAGTTAAGGGAGGCAAAATCGCTCTGGTGAGCAGATATTTATTATATACCATTTGTTTTAGAGTTTGTACTACATAGATTTCATTTCTATGGCTAAGAGTGGTACATTATTAAATCCTATGGTTTGGTAATATCCAGTTGGTATTTGACGCTACAGCTGCTGATTTTTACTGCTTTAGCCAAGGAGACATAGATGTTGCTATAAATTGGTTTTCTCTGTCAATATCTACATTGCCTGGGGGTCATAAATAATACAACAGCCCATATCCCAAGAACTGGGTACTGGGTCAAATAGGATGCCAAGCCCCCTCCCACATAAATAGAAGTGGTTGGATCCTGGGACAGAATCAAAAGCCAATAGCTATCTAAGCCTAGAGGACATGTCTGAAAAGTAGTAACTGAAGAGGTCTTAATACCAGCAATGTGGCTACCCATCATAATCAATTTCCAAGCCTAGACAGAGAAGGCAAACATAAAATAGAACGTGAGAAAATAAGGCAACAACCTGCCTCCAAACTTTTCAACTCCCACAGAGCAAATCTAGGGCATCAAGGAGAAGGAAATCAAAGAGCTACATAGTCAAATCGTCTAAAACAGTCTTAACTGTGGAGGTAATAAATCAGATCAACAAGAGGCTTGGTGAATTAAAAGCAGAAATAATTAAAGAGACAACAATCCTAATAGCAAATGATCAAAGAATCTAGAAAAGACACTAATAAAACACTAGAGGAGCTAAAAAAAAGCTACAGACCATGAATGGCCAGCATAGAAAAGCACTGGAATTCATAAAAGGTTCTAGACAGATATCCAGGCTATTAAAACTTTATTAAAAGTATGGGCAGTGCTCACTTCAGCAGCACATATACTAAAAGTATGGGCAGCACCCCATTAAATAGCAACTCCCCATGCTTCCCTTCCTCAGTCCTAGGTAACTACACTCTACTTTCTGATTCTGTGAATTTGACTATTCTTTCTACTTCCTGTATGTGGGACCACAGAATGTCATTGGGAGTTTGTTGTTAGGCAAAACTACAGTTATGAAAGATTACTGGCATTACTTTGTAGCCCTAGAGAAAAAGAACAAAAGCAAAAATTAAATCATAGAGATTAAATGAATGTTATATTAGAAATAATTGGGTTGCAAGGAAAAGAAATCCACTCTAATGTAAGTCAGTCCGGGAGTTCTTGTGAAGACTCCAGGAGAAAATTAAAAGGACAATCAAGCATTTATTTTAGCAGCACATATATTAAAGTTAGGCCAGGAGTGGTGATGCATGCCTATCACCCATCATTCCAGAGGCTGAAGCAGGGGGATCACTGGGAGTTTGAGGTCAGCCTGAACTACATAGCAAGACCTTGTCTCAAAAATTAAAACATGAAATGAAGTGAGAGTGATAAAGAGAAGATTAGCATGGCCCCTCTGCAAAGGATGACATGCAGATTTAAGAAGCATTGCATATTTTTATTTAGCCAAGCTATTTCCCATGCAGGCATCTTCCTGAAAGAGTTAAAGACATTTTACTGCAGAGATAAATTAATACTTATGTCTGTGACACACAACTCATAATAATTAAGTCTTAGAAGTGGCCTATATGTCCATCAGTAGACAAATAAAGAAAAAAAATGATAAATTTGAGTCATATGTAGGAAAATGGATACACCTAGAGACCATAATTAGTGTTAAGTGAAATAAACCAAGACACATAAGCATAAATATCACATTGCTTTTATTTTGAGAAACTCAAAGTATGAATAATGCAAAGAACAAAATAAAAGATAAGGGCTGGGGATTTAGCTCAGTGGTGCCGCCACCTGCCTCCCAAATAGAGGGTCCTGAGTTCACTCCCCGGTACCAAATAAATAAATAATACAAAAGATAGGTGCTTTGCAAATGGGAAGGGGATCTAGAGATGAAGGGGTAGAAAGAAGAATTAAGATATATACATGTACCAGGCCAGGGATTTAGCTCAGTGGTTCCACTGCCTGCCTCACAAGCGCAAGGACCCGAGTCTGATCTCCGGTACCAAAAAAAAAAAAAAAAAAAAAAAAAAGATATATACATGTACCAAAACCCCACAATGAATATAGTCATTATATACAGCCAACATGTACTACAAAAATAAAAATTAAAAAGACAATGAAAGAAATTAAATGCATAGGGCCGGGGATTTAGCTCAGCGGTTCGGTGGCCTGCCTTGCAAGTGCAAGGACCCTAGTTCAATCCCCAGTACCAAAATAAATAAATTAATTAATTAAATGAAGGTAAACTTTTTTTGTGCTTTGATTTTTGAGGGACTGAGGATTGAACCCAGGGTTTTGTGCATGCTAGGCAAGCACTCTACCACTGAGCTACATACCCAGTCCTATTTATTTATTTATTTACTTTTATTTTGGTACCAGGGATTGAATTCAGGACCTTGTGCTTTCAACCTATTTATTTATTTATTTATTCATTCATTCTTTCATTTAATCTTGAGACAGGATCTTACTAAATTGCTTAGGCTGACCTTGAACCTGCAGTCTTCCTCTGGAATTATAAGAGTACGCCACCATACCTGGCTCTATGATCTTTTATTAAAGACATTATTGTGTTGTCTGTTTTTTGGGGAGATGGGGTACCAGGGATCAAACTACTGTGAGGCAAGCACTAGAATCAGTGAGCTAAATCCCCAGCCCTTGTGTTGTCTGTTTTTAATTTATCTGCTAGTGGTTTTAATTTAATTTCCCTTTTTTTACTAATGATGCCTTTTTTTTCACAAATTTATTTGCCATTTGTATGGTATCTTTACTGAAGTGTTAATCTTTTAAAATTTGTTTTCTTATTACTGAGCTTTGAAGTTCTTAATGCGTTCTAAATGTAAGTGCTTCTGTTTTATATGTATTAAAAATTTCATTTTTGTTTTTGTTAAAAAATAAAATAAAAGTATGGGAAGCAGACTCTACCAATGTGAGGACAGAGTGTCAGATCTAGAAGACAGGGATGTGGTTGGTGACCAACTAATGATAAACATTTTAAAACAAGAGAACATGAAAATTTGATCCAAAAGCTGCTAGATACAAAGAAGAATAATCTAAGTTTAATTGAAATTAATGAAAAATTAGAAGATAACACAAAGGCCTTTTAAAAATCTGCTTATAGAGGTTGATAAGAAAAACTTTCCAAGCATGAAAAAATAATTGCACATACCCAAAAGTGAGACATACAGAATCCCAAATAGCCACGATCAGATAAGAACCATCCAAGGATATATCCTAGTAAAGGATCCAGAAATACAACACAAGGGCAGAATCTTAAAGCTATTAGAGAAAAGAAACAAATTAAGTATAAAGGAAAGCCAATCAGAATTACAGTAGACTTCTCAACACAAACATTAACATCAAGGAGAGCTTAGAGTGAAGTGTTTCGAATCCTAAAAGAAAACAATTTCCAACATAGACTGACATATTCACAAAGTTATCTTTCAAAACTGATGGAGAAATATGATATTTACATGACAAAGAGCACTTTAAGAAATTCAGGGCCATCAAAAAGTGCTGCAAGGCACAAGCTTCAGCTAGGAAGCGACTGTGTGGACCAGACTGTCATGGCTACAGGCATGTCCCAGCCATGGTTCTGCCCCAATCCCAGAGGCTCTGGTACATCTGCCTGAGCCAGAGAGCCTCTCAGAAAAGAGTTGCACAGGCACATAATCTTCAGCCAGATGCCCGCCATACCATCAGCCACTAGGAAAAGAACTCTGCAGACACACAAGCAAGAGCCAAGGCTTCCCCTATACCACTGATAAGTGGATGGAGACCCTAGCCAGAAGCATATGTAGACAGCAGGAACTGGAGTACACAGAATTTCAGATATAGAAGATAGGGTTGCAGTTAGTGACCAGGAAAAAAATTTTCTTAAAAATAGTAAGGGACCATGAGAAATCAATCCAACATCTGCTAGTCAATGCAAAGAGAAACAATATAAGACTGATTGGAGTCAATGAAGTCAATGAAGAAACAGGAGAGACTGCAGGTGACATAAACATAAATGGTTCACAGAAGTAATGGCAGAAAACTTCCCAGAAAGGGGAAATTAACAACATATAGATAAGTGAATTTATAGGACTCCAACTAGTCATGATCAAAAAAAAAATCTACACATAGGCATATAATAGTTTAGATTACAAAAACCCAACTGAAGAACAAAATTCTACAAGCAGTTAGAGAAAAGAAACACATCACATACAAAAGAAAGCCCATCAGAATCACAGCAGACTTCTCAACACAAACTCATGAGGCAAAAAGAGCCTGAAGTGATATATTTGAAGCCCTAAAGGAAAACAACCTCCCACCAGATTGATGTACCCTGAAAAACTTTTAAAATTGATGGAAAAATATGATACTTTCATGACAAAGAGCACCTGAGGTGCTTCATGAATACTAAACAGAACTGCAAAAAATTTTAAACAGTATCCTAGGAAAAGACAAAGTTTCACAACCCCAGGAATCCCAAGAATGAATTCATCAGGCATGACAAGAAATTAAATGCAAAGGGAGAGAATCCAACAAAAAGAAAAATTCATGACAAGCATAAGTCAATGCATATCAGTTATAACCATCAATGTTAATGGATTCAATTCACCAATCAAAAGAAATAGACTGGAGAATGGGTCAAGAAGCAAGATCCAACAATATGCTGCACACAAGAAACACATATATGTTAGGTATCTTTCCAAAAGAATTAAAAGAATCATATCACAATGATATATGCGCACCTATGTTTATAGCAGCATGGTTTGTAATAGTTAAAACTTGGAAACAGCCCATTTGCCCATCAGTTGGAGACTGGATAAAGAAGATGTGCTTTTCTATAAAATGGAATACTACTCATCCATAAAGAATGAGAAATTAGATTCATTCATAGAAAAATGGATACATATTGAGGATATACTCCTAAGTGAAATAAATAAGTCACACATGTGTAACTACTGAATAGTTTCTCTGGTGTGAATAAACTATAATAGTACATAAGATCCTAATGATATAATTGACAATGTGAAATAGGAAGAAAAGGCTAAAGGTGTAGGAAAAGTGGGAAAGATAGGGGAAAGGTAATAAGGAAAAGGAAAAAAATATGAGACAATGAAAAAATGGAAATAAAATGTTTATAAATGGGGAGGGGAGGAGGGGGTGAAGGGAGGGCAGGGACAACGGGAAAAAAAGAGAACCAAGACCTGTCATGTAAAGGTACAAGATCCCAATGATGAATGTAACTGTACTGTATACCAAAATGTACCAATAAACTCAATGAAGAAAAAAAAGAAAGAAACACATTTAATTCAAAAAGAAACTCATAGACTGAAAGATAAGGGTCAATGCTCCTTGAGACAGGAACCCACAGAAAAAGCAGGAATAGTTATCCTCTTTGCAGATCAAGTGGATTTCAAACTAATACTGATTAAGAGAAACAAAGAAGGACACTACATCCTTGTAAAGGGAACAATCCAAGAGGAAGAGATGACAATCATTAACATATATATATATATATGCACCAAATGCTGTTGCACCCACCCATATAAAATAAATACTAAGGTACATGCTAAATCATATAAGCAAGGGCAATTAAACAACCTGATGCTGTACCTCAAGCTTCTAGAAAAAGAAGAGCAGGACAAGCCCAAAACTCATACAAGGGAGGAAATTATCAAGATTAGAGCAAAAATCAATGCAATGGAGACTAAAAGAACAACACAAAAATCAACAATGCCAAGAGTTGGTTCTTCAAAAGAATAAACAATATTGACAAACCCTTAGCCAACTTTATCAAAAAAAAAAAAAAAGGAAAGAAAAGGCCCAAATAGGAATGAAAAGGGTAAATTACAACAGATCCAGCAGAAATCCACAGGATCGTCAATACCTACTTTGAGACCCTAAACACCAATAACATGGAAAATACAGAAGAAATGCACAGATTCCTAGATACGTATGAATTACCAAAGTTATATGATGACCTAAAAATTATGAACAAGCCAGTATTAATTGTGAAATTGAAAATGTAATTAAAATCCTATCAACTAAGCAAAGCCTGGGTCCTAATGGCCTCTCTGCTGAATTTAATAAGACATTTAGAGAGGAACTCATGCCACTACTGCTTAAACTCTTCAAGGAAATTGAAAGGGAAGCAATACTCCCAAATTCATTCCTGGAAGCAAGCATCACCTTGATCTGCAAATCAGAGAAAGACCCAGAAAAGAGAGAGAGAGAGAGAGAACCACAGGCCAATCTCACTAATGAACATAGTTGTAAAAATCCTTAATAAGATAATGACAAATAGAATGCAGAAGATCATCAAGAAAATCATACACCCTGACCAAGTGGGATTCATTCCAGGGATGAAAGGATGGTACAACATACACAAATCAATGACTGTAATACACTATATTAATAGAACCAAGGACAAAAACCATACGATCATCTCAAGAGAT